AGATGCTTGGGAACTTTCCAGATCCTCCTTCTAATTCCATACTATCTGAATCACGCAGATTTCAGAAAACCATTCCCATCAAAAGAGCTATTGCTAGGCCTTTGATTTTTATTTATTATTTTCTGAGTGACATTTTTGTTTTTGCTCTGAATTACTGTTTCATTTTTTTTTGTACTATATGGGTTGGGTTTTCATTTTTCCTGTTGCTTGTAGTCTGTTGAGTTTTGTTTGGTGGCGTCTGCGTACCTACTGAAGTTTGGATGGCAACTGAGCGAGATGATTTCAGAGCATTCGCGTAGGATGTACATTGGTCATAAGCTGTGTGCATGTATTGAACTATTGTTCTGGCTTTGGCATAGGAAATGTTCCTAGTAACCTTTATCGTCTGTACTTGCTTTTCTGATTTCCATTTCGGACAAGAACGAGAAAATGCTAGATGGTCACCCTTGCAATTTACACAAAGAGGCCGCAGCGGTACAATTATCAGAATCGTGGCCAATCAGACGAGCATCAGGCGCATGTGAGGCTGCCACGAACAGGACGTCTTAGAATGGCCGAAACGCTGGCATTGGAAACATCGCATAGGGTTTGGAATATAAGGTCTTACAGGACAATTTAAGTATCCGGCCTTAATATTCTTAGGCAGAACAGGCGTGTTGAAGGTAAGGATCACGTGTTTCGTGTCGATCAACTTACCTTCCTTTCGCATCTTGATCCGCCTAGCACCACAGACATTTTGGTCAGCTAACTCGAAGACGAACTCTTCTTCTGAAACACACAGAAGGTCAATCTCCGAGATCACACCTCTACAAGAATTAAGTGTTTTGTGTGCTGACACAGTTATAGATATTTCTCCAAGTTTGGTTGTTGACGTAAAAGAGAAGGCAGACTGGGTGGCCGAATATGGTATCAATAAGCAAGGTCTCCTGAATCGGAGACGCTTTATATTCCTTTGGCTCACCTATGCAAGAATTGAATGTATTTGCTTACCGAGAAAAAGGAGACATCTTTTGCAAGTTCACCAGAAGGCACTAGAAGACAACAAGGAGGAAGCGCGAGGAATTTTCAGTAGATTCTTTGGTATTTGCATCGGTACGGATCTTTTTGGTAATGGATTTGTTCAGTAATTTCAATATCTTTGGCATTCTGCATCAGCACGGTATCTTCTTGTTAATAGATTTATCAACAATTTCCATATCTTTGTTGGTTTCATTCTAACTTCAGGTTTTTTTTCAGAATGAAAAAGAGAAGTCATAATTTGAAAGAGAAACAAATTCGGGTCCTGACGGCCCTAGCCCACCACGGAGCCCTACAAGGGCAACACAGATTCCTGTGTTAGGGCTAGCCGGACCTATACGCAAACTGAAGCCCCACAGTCAGCTTTCCCGAAAGCAGGTACTCCCGAGAGCTTGACCCCAAGCCACTGACACAAGGACCTAGTGACCAGCCGATTGACACCCGTGAGGACGACTAAGGTGACTCCCGTTTAGCTGAAGCAGAGGCCAAAGTAGTGTGTTGGGGACAGTACCTCGCCCCTCAACTACCAGGACCCTCCTTTCCAGCGACACGGGTCTCCACGCACGGCAAACACGTGGGCAGTTTTCTCCCCACTCGAAGACTAGAGACAAGGGCTGTTCCAGTCTCTCGTGACGAGCCCCAAACTCCGCAGAGAGAAACCACGAGGGAGAAGAGAAGGGAAAAAGTTCCAGCAAAGAGGAGAGGAGACGGAAAAGAGGATAGATCACTGGGGCTCCAGGATCGTGACACCCGTCTCACCAAGAAGATGATCTCCTGAAGGGCTAGGGTACCTCGGGATTGCCACACCCGTACTCACTAAGGTGAGCCCCCTGAGGGTCGTTAAATTGGCGAAATACTGCCAAGTTGGTGATGGTCCCAGAAATTTTTTTTTTTTTGCCAAATTTGGAGAAAATTCAGCAAAAGTCAACAAATGTGACAATCATTTGGCAACATTTTAGTCTGATCCTGCATAACTATAATTGACTTAAATGTCTATGTAACTTTAACTGTATCTATTCCTATATTTAACTGTAACTGTATATGCCTTCCAGTAATTTCGAGAAATGAAAGGTACCGGAAATTTCTCGTTGACTAAGGGAAAATTATATATGACCAGAGACAGTATGCAATTTATAGTTTAGAGTTGACTTCACAGTATTGAAAGATCTCTATATGAGCTTTGCTCTTTAGCTGCATGCTGTGTTTAACGTTCTTAGTAGTTTGAAGTGATAACTACTGGTTATGCTCTGTCCTACTGAGAAGACTATACAAATACTTTTGTCAAAACTTCCAGAAATGTAAAGTGTTTCTTTTGGGAAAATAAATTTTATCATTATTTCTGTGAGCATTCAATCCATTACGAACCATACACATGCAACAATATATATATTTACTAGCCTTTAAGAAACATTCAACACCATATAGCATTTAGAGCTCATATTTGCACTATAGCTGAATGCAGTTTTTCTTTGCATTATTTATTCATAAATTAAGTTACATAAAGCAGTAAGATGTTAATTCAGAAGCTATTAATGTTATAGCAGCCAACCTTGAAATGCGAAAAACTCAGGAGGTTTTTGCAATGTGACTTCAAAAGGAATCCGAAATGACAAATTTCACTGGTGGTCTTTTTTATAATAAAACATACTTATGAAAAAAAGGACACTTTCCTATTAAACTCTTAACATAAATTTCTGGTGCCCTACTGGCAGATTTTGGTTTATTTCTTACCCTACATCTTTAGTTCAAACCAAACTTTTCCCCTCCCTTTATGAAATAATAATAATAATAATAATAATAAAACTTTGTGAGGGACTAAATAAAACTAACAGTAATTAATAAATGCTGCATTAAAAAGAATCATAAGCAAGCATAAAATTAAATATGACATTTAGCATTGCAATGAATATTTCTTCTTCAAAATGCATATGACATCATATGAACTGAAACAAATAAAAATCTAAATGCTGTCAGGCAGTGCCCCTTTGTCTTTATTGCATCATTCTGCACTACTCCCATGTGCTTAACAGACTGGGTCTGATATCTAATAGCAATGAAGTAATACAAATGATAGCTGAGAAATGAATATTTGAGTATGGGATTTTGAATAACTAAAAATTTTGAATAACTGAAATTCATTATGGATTTTGAATAACTGAAATTCATTATGGTCAAATATATATGATTAGACGGGAAATACTGTATTGCATGAGCAATGGTTCTAAAGACAATTATGCCAAGAACTGGTGACACTTGGTGCAGAGGAAATATACCAAAATAAAGTAAGGAAAAGATCATTAAAAAACAGCTGTAATGTAATTTTGAGGCGAAATTTATTAACCTTACAAAAAATTTTTTTGTTACTCAAAATTATATGGTTTTTGGCTTATTTTATGTGTTTAATTTTTTAAAAATTTAGAAAGTAGAAAATACTAGCAGTAGTAAGGGGAAAAAACTTTTATTTGCCAAAGTTCTTTTAAATATGATGAAAATAAAATCAATAAATTAATACATGCATAATCAAACAGATAAAATTTAGTAATATACCCATTCACAGACACAAAGCAAAAATAAAGGCTAAGATGTCAGAACTGCCTGCCAGCATTTAGATTTTTACACTAGTAAACACTAGCATGGCTTCATAAAATGCTCTGGATTAACACGGATTGACCTGAATAAAAACTGATCCAAAAAATTAACACTGAAAAGTACTCTAAAAATGAATTAGCACAATTTAAAAAGATGTTCTCTAAATTTTCTTTAGAGCATTTCCTATTTATTGATTCTTTAGCTGATTCTTCTAAAACATTTGTAAGAGCTGAGAATTAAAAAAATGAGAGTCAACTATCAAATAATATTAATCATTGTACAACTAAATATTGATAATAAAATGGGCCATGGAAGAACAAGTCATTTTAAAAGCAAAACACGAGCACCTTGAACTGGATGAGGTAATGGAGCCTCATATCATTTTGCTCATTTCACTACTCCTCATCCAAACGACCCTATTTTGTTGTAAAATTCCATTCCTGAGTGTCAAGTTGCAGAGAAATTTCTTGTTACTTAAATACACAATGTTATTTAGGTTATGCACTGAATCACTCTTTTGTCATTCCCATACCTAGCAATGATCAAATAAATATATTTTAAGTTTATATAGCAAATTTTAAAATTTACTTAATTTTGTTTAGTAAACCTGTCAAATAAATATGAAAACACACAGTCCTTCTCTTTATGAGAAGAAACATAAAAAAGAATCAAATAACTGTGTGGGGCTATTTGATCACCACAAACACATTCATATTGGATATTCAACAATAAAGACTTACAAAATTTCTGTGTTCAAGCTTAATGTGAAAAAGCATAGTGAAAAAAATAAGGCTGCCAGTAGAATAAACTTTAGATCAGATCAAATAAATATTTCACTCAACAGTATTATTACAGTAACATAGAAGTATTATCACTTCTTGGGCAACATTACATTTAGCAGGTTTTCTGCAAAACTTAACAGATTAAAACCCGAACAGCAATAAATATTGTAATGTATATCTCACTATATATTTCAAGGAAGTTATTTAAAGAATCGTTTCAATAACATTTTTCTTTCAACATGAGATTACTAACAATGAAAAGTTTCTGAATATGCTAAAACAGCCAGGGTAGACATACAAGAGAAGAAACGTAAGAATTATTATTAACCAATATTAGTTACACTAGTTTAATCTCTGAATTTCACATTTGTATTATTAGAGAATGATGAATAATTTACATATATTATCAAAATATACTATAATTCTGTATTTTAATCCTTCCTTCCATTTTTTTCATCTAAAAAGGCTCTTAGCTAAGACTGTAATAAAAACAACCTCTAAATGAAAGCATTGAGTAGTTTAAAAAAAAAAAAAAAAAAAACTTCATATCCATACAGAACTACTAAAATTATAAATCAGCTTGAATAACAAAATAAAATTCATAAAGCTTACCAGTAAACGATACAGATACAGATATTCTGTAGCGGATAAGTAATTTCCACATTCATACTGACTTTTTGCAAAAATGTACACAAAATCCATACATTCAATGTTAAACTGAAATGTAAATAATAAAATATAGTGCATACACACACATATACAAATATAATGTTACAAAATAAATATTTTCAACATAAATTTTTAATTATGCAAATAAAATGGAAAATTATATATATATATATTATAACTTTAAAATTTGCTTAAGATGGGATACGAAATTCAATTGCTAATACATAACTGGCAGTATTTGATAAGATGCAACCATTTTAATTATAGAATGTATACCAAAGTAACTGAATTTTTTGGTATTGTCCAAGGGAAGGAAATCCTATTTTTTATAAAATAAGAAGTACTTGGAGAGATCAAAACATTACAGAGAGGACAGGGGGACAAAATTTCAGTTTTATTGAGCCTAAAAATATTTATGCATAATTACAGTTTTGGGTTTCCATAGTACCTCTTCCGGATTTATAAAGATAATTTTATTAGTTATTAAAGTTTCAATCATTTTCCTTTTTAATCATATTCTAAAGAACATACAAATCAATATTTTTAAAGTAAAAAATAAACTTCTAAAAATATAGCATCATTAGCGACAATAATAGTATGACAGTTTATATTCTTGCATGTCAAGAAAAATGGCAGCAATCTACATACTTTTAAAATTTGGTAAGTGAAAAATTATTCCCAATGAAAAATCTACAAATGAATTGAAAATTTTCATAATATTTTGTTATTAAGTGCTAATTTAAGACAGGAAAAGGAGGGAGTAGTGCTATACACAGAAATCTAAGATGCTGATATGAGAGTTCTGAAGTCAGATTCAGTTGCAAGAATACATTTGAAGATATATTAACATTTAATAAGTGATATGATATTTATATTCTGGTGGAAAACATCTCTAACACACAGACAAATATTTTTTTTTTCCTCCTGAAGAAGAGGGATGTGCCAGATTTCTCTTGAAACTCATTTGTATTTTTTTAAAACTCTGGTAGCTTTTTCACCTGATATTAAATATATAAATGAAATATTTACATATTTCAGGCATTCTTACGTGTTTCAGGCACTCAGTCTTGCCTTGTTAGAAATAGATGCTTTTCAAAATTTGCAGTGCAAGATGAATTACTTACATTTAAATAAGAGTTTGGTAGAATATAATGTAAATGAAAATACTTTAGATCAATATGAAAAACTTACATCATAGTTCTTCACAAGGAAGTCTAACAGCATACGGCCATCTCTACATTGGGGGGAAAAAATTACTCATGCATTAGTGATGAAATCAGTAAAGATTTAATTAAAAACAATTACATTTAACTTGAACAATCAAATAATATTTAACTTAATTTCAAATAAACATACAGATTTATAGATCTATATCAGACTTCATTTTTTTTTTATATAGGGCTAACAACCATCTTGGTTTCTGATAAACATATTCACTGTCCTTAAATAATATTTTCTTAGTGTCCATTTGCTTTAGTTTTCCTTTTTCAAAAGAAAATTTATGAGTTGGAGTAGAAAACATGTACACTGAGTTGAAAAATTGTCTTCTATAATTTTAAAATTCATTTGAAACTATTTTTTTCACGTCCAAATTTGCTGGAAACTACTTTTTCAATGCATCTGGCAGTGTTTCTTCTGCAAGATTATTGACTTCCATGTACACAGTAGATACTTCTCAGACACTTATTTGGTGACAGTTTCACAATTTTATCAGTTCCCTACTTATTTTGTTAATCATTTCTCCAGAACAAAAATTGGGCTGAAGTGTTTGAATATGCTATGACACTGATGTTTTTTTTATTTTATAGTCACTGTGTCACAAACAGAACATAGTTATCAGACACTATAATTTTAACATATTTAATAGTGATTTCATTAACCATCAACATACAAATATGAATCTACACTGCCAGTAATTATTGGCTAATTAAGTGCATAAATGATTTTGTATGCTAGGGACTATAGGCTAGCAACAAGTTAATGTGACTTTCTTCGCCTGGCAGTTATTTGTCAATATCACATAAACATTGACATAATTCAGCTAATTATAAGCTGTTATGACTTATACATAATTTCAGAAGTTAGTGATTTCAGCTGGCATCTTAATAATGTGTGTATCAGTGTCACATAAACATGAGATCACTCAAACAGTGATTACCAACTGCCTTCACATATATAGGATTTAGAAAGTTGGTGAATATCAGCTTTATGTTAACATGAGTTCAAACATTGATTCATAGATTTATGCTAACAGGATTTCAATCTGCAAGCATTCATCAGTTGGTATATTATAAGTATGCCTGTTCTATAGTACTATGTATATGATGCTGAAATATAAAGATAAGCTCTTGATCTTTATGTTAATTATTTAGGGTAAAAATTCCCACCTAATGAAAGATAATGGTCATGCCTGTCACACTGCACTAGTGACCAATTATCTTCAGCAAGAAGGAATCCAGCATATGGAGTTCCCCACATTCTCCAGATTTAAATACAACAGAACATGTATGAAATATACTAGGTTGCAAACCTGCAAGACTGCAGTTCTCACTTAACATTTGCCAAGACCTTCAAGGGCCTTGTTCACCATGAATAAAGTTACCGAAAGAATTCATAAAAAATCTACGAGGCGTATTCGGAAACTAAGTACCGTTTTGAAAAAAAAAAAAAAAAAAAAAAAAAAAGTAAAACAATTTTTTTCGAATCCAATTTTATTTTTACATGAAAATACATGTCTTAAACTATTTTTCAACATAGTTTCCGCCAATGATCAAACACTTGTCATAGCGGATGACCAGTGTTTGTATACCATCGTCAAAGAAATCTCCCGCCAGTTTCGATAACCATGACTCCACAGCATTTTTCGTGTCATCGTCAGATCCAAAGGAATCGGAGAATGAGTGTGTCTCTACTCCATTGATTGTTGTTTCGATTCTGGTGTGAAATGACACACCCAAGTTTCATCACCTATCACAATTTGGTTTAAAACGTTTTCTCCCTCATCACTGTACCGCGTGAGAAATGTCAGGGCACTACCAAGTCGCTTTGTTTTGTGAACATCAGTGAGCATTTTTGGAACCCATCGGGAACATAGTTTGCGATAATTCAAGCGGTCAGACACAATTTCGAACAAAACAGTACGTGAAATTTCTGGAAATGCCTCTGAAAGAGTTGTCATTGTGAAGCATCTGTTCTCATGAATTGCTTCATCAACTTTCCTTACCAAATCATCGGTGACAACAGAAGGTCGACCACTCCGAGCCTCGGCGTAGACATTTGTTCGACCTGCATTAAACATTCTTACCCACTTTCTCACCATTCCATCACTTATCACATATTCACCGTAAACTTGTGTCACTTGACGATACATTTCGGCCAGTTTAACATTCCTCGCGTTCAAAAATTTAATCACGGCACGAATCTCACAGTCAGCGGAGAACTAATTGTCTTAAACATTTTGAATGTGCACAGCAAACTGAAAACACAACATAAAGCAACCAAACTGGCGACAATTGAAAGTTAGTGAACAAGAAAGACTAGTGCGCATGCGCGAGACGCCTACCACAGCGCTGCGACGGCGCCAGAATGAAACGGTACTTAGTTTCCGAATACGCTACATAATACACAGCTTGCATGTAATGCTTTCATTTCGGTCAAAAATGAGCACACTTATTATTATTGTTCATCTCTAAAACACTATAATACCAACTTCTTCCTATCTCACTTTATATCACATTTCCTAAATTCTTATTTAGTGGAAAGAGTTAATTCTTTAAATTAAAAAATATGTGAAGGTATTGCAAACTAAAGCTCTTGCACAAGGTAAATATTCTCAGTTGTAAAATTATTCAAGTTACAAGAGTTTTTATACTGGGAGATTCTCACATTGCACGGCACCACCATTTCAAAAGAACTCCAAACTGAGTTAAATTCACCTTATAATGCAAAATTCAAGTTATTAAACTATTTATAACATGCTCCTGATGTAAAATATATTAATATTTATCAGGATATTCTAAATTTTGTATTTTTAAGCCAATTTCACTCTACCTTTTTTAGATTTTTATACTGAAAATCCTGAATAGGGAAGGAAAGCTTTAATTTACCAAAGTACTTTTACACATAGTAAATATAAAATAAATAACTGTAAATAATTAAGATACATACTATTGTGCGGTTAAACTTAGTAATGTACAGTTTATTGATGTAATACAAAATTAAATACAAAGATTAAATGAGCTAACATTGGTTGAAATTTTACAAAAAGTTATATAAATGTCTATGAGAGATTTAAACAATTCAGATTAAGTAAAGTTTAATAAGACATATTACGCTGAAAATCATTCAGGATGGAGGAATGGAATTTGCCCAATTCAAGTTTCATTAATTCATTAAATTTAATTTATTGACTGCAAAATCTTTTCTCAGTAAAAGATTAAAAAAAAAAAAGACATATACTTGGAGACCAGATGATGCAATGAAAAATAGAAAGAAACAGAACCCTATTATGACAATGCCACTTTGGCAAAAACAAAGTCTGAACAAGAAACTTTAGAAATTAGTATCAAAAGCACAGTATGACATAAATTTTTAAAATGATGAACAGAAAAGGGCTTTGCACTTCCTTGTTAAACCATTTCACTTAGTTGTCAAAATAAGCAAACTACATCACCCAGTCTGTAACATGCAAAATGTTTATAACTACTTTAACAAAGAAATAAATATATATTATTAAGTCCCATATAACTACTTTAACAAAGAAATACCAATAGCTTCGTCCTGGTGTAGAAGATTTGTAGAAATTACTCAAATATTTCTTTTATAACAGTTAGGTTATAAGCCTCCGTGCTGTGGAGCAAAATCAGCACAGTTTTTGATATTTTGTAGCAAGTTGGGACTGCAAAAACTGTTACGCATAATTTGGGGCAACTGTAAACACAACATTACATTTATATAAACAACCTATTTAATTCTAAAAAGTTCATAATACAATCCTATGCTTCCCAATTTTTGTAAATTATGTGTAATTACTAAATGCAACACCAAATATAACTATAATAAAAAATACTATAAGAAATGTATTTATACCGAGTACTTTCAATCTGCTTTTGAACAACTTGTGACTGGAATACTTGTCTAATATGTTCTGTTTCTTCTTGATAAACTTTCAGTTCACTTACTACTTTTCCTCTCTTTTCCAAAAGTTCTAAATAAAATATATTTTTCAAAATGTCACAAAAATAAAGAAACTGACTTATTTACCATATAGTTACAGAAGACATTCAATAAGGATATTTTTGTGCCCTAATAAAAAGATATTCTTATATAACACTAGAAAAAGAATATTAAGTTATAATATACATTAAAGGAAAAGATTTTTCAAACAGAAGGAGGCCCCAAAATTATGCTATAAATACATACATTAGTATTAAACACAAAGCATTAATAAAGTTTTCGATAATTTTTTAAAACGCATTCCAGCAAACCTGTCAAATGTAATTGACATTACACGACTACAATTTACTTTTCCTAAAGTATCATATGCTTATGAACATAATTTTCTGTGCAGTTAATAGTTTGCTTTTGATAAAATGAAAATTCAGTTTTGGATTCAAGAGCTGCACATAAAATAGCAATAAACTCTTGATAAATGGGAGAAAAATAGCAACAAGGACATTCAAAATGTTATCCTAAATATATAGAGATCGAGCATAAACATGACCAAATAGTTTTCGGGTAGCCTATATTTTGGGGTACCCCTTTGATTATTGCCAAGTTGTTGTTTCATTTATGGTAACCTGAATATTTTACGGTGTATGCTTTGGAAAATTGGTTATAATGCATGATCACGGTGATTTGAATTTCCCACGGCTTGTTTTGTACGCTGGATGTCGCTCAGGAAGTACATTGCTTATTTTGTGCTTTACATGATAAAATGGCTGCCTGTGATAAGATTAATCTGAAGTTTCTGTATGATTTGGAACGAATGGGAAAAAAGCATTAATTGACTGGTGTGTAAATGAAGGCTTACTCAGTAATCATTATAAGTATCCAGTTATTATGAAGGAAATGTGTATGGTCGAACGTAAAGATCATTCATATGGCTTTTAAAAGGTTTATCACACACTACGGAGTCGTCCAAAAGTCTGGCACTATGGATGACGATTTTTTTTTTTTTTTTGTGAATTTATGTGGCTATGGTGGTATACAGATTCTAGTTCTGATAATTTTCGACACTTTTTGGATGCTGTTAAGGAATTTTGTTTGCCGCACACTGAAGACACAGAAATTTCTAGGTAAGTCGATATTTCCTTGTTTGATTTAAAATGCAGTTTATTCACATTATATATATATATATATATATATTTTAAAAAATGTTTTGGACACCATTTTACTGGGGACAGGAATGGCGAGAAAAATTGCCAGTTTTTGCTAAGGGATACCCTGAAATATGTTTTCTCTAGTTTTCATCAGAACATATAATTTTGTTATGGATATCAATTTGCTGATGATGGCCCCAAGATTTGTCACCCACTCAGTCTCAAAACTGAGTCACTGAAAAATTTCAACAAATATTGTAAAAAATTGCCACCAGTCTTCGAACGATAGTTGATATAGCTTAAACCCTACCATGAGCACAAATATGCATGCACCGTTTGGATGATTTATTGATGAAATAAGGTCAACAGGCATGAATCATATAGTAGGGAAATTTTCCGTCCTTATTTTTTCCCTGATTATTTTCAGTGTGTTCAAACAGCACAGATTAAGAAGGCAGAAAATTACTTTTGGTTAATCTTCGGATTATGGTATTTTGGCGAAAATTTGGCAACCAACCCTGCTACAGCAACCTGCTAGTTTTGTTTTGAACGCCATTTTGTTTTCACGAAGTAAAGGCATTTTTTTTTTTACTCAAAATTTTTTCCAACAATCTGCCATATTCCAAAGATTAATGCTGATCACCATTTCTAATTAACTGTTTGATTACATTATTTTAAATTTGTGCATTTACATATTTATTATTATACCGGTAAAAAATGCAAGCGTTTTCAGCTTGATTTTGCTATATATGCATAATTTTAAGAAAAATGAAATAAATAACTATTGTTATATAATTTTTATTAAAATGAACTCTAACATAATAATTATTATAATAATACTACAATTAATATTAATTACATAATTTTCGAATGAAGTATATGCACATTAATATACACTGAAAAAAGAAATGGTATGATAATAAATGATTATTAGTTAATTATTATATTTTTTTTTTTGATTTGGGGCTAAAATCCATATGCATTATTACACATAGCTAAAGTGTGTGTGGGAACTAAATCTAATTTAGAAAAAAAAGAACGAAAATAATTCTTGAATAAAAGATCAAGGTATTGTCAATAAATTATCATCAAGAAAGCCCCTTCAACTGGGATACATAGCTGTTTTTAGGGATCTAATTTTTAAAAGTAAGTAATGAAACATGCACAGTACACATAGAATTGTTACGTTACAAAAAAAATTTCAACATTGCACATCAATGTGAATCTTCGCATCTTTGAAAATCTGAAATAAAGGCGAGAAAGAAAACTGACGATAGGGGCACTTTCTTTCCTTCACTAGTTAATTCCCCCTTTCCATAAAAGAGCAAATTCTCATATGATCTCTTCACCCTGCAGCACATAATTAGCACTCTTTGTGGGAAAATCCTAAATGCTTTGGCAGAATGCCAGCAAAGGTTGCATTTGACATGGTCAAACTATACACTTAACAACAGTAAAGATGCTGCTTGCAAAACTGTTGCAGAAGATCATGGAGTAAAAGGGGGAAAAAAGGGGTGGAGGGAATCTGTTCTCATTTTGTTTCATTTCCACTGGCTACAGAACAGAAAAAAGAAATTCTGCACGTCAGGACTTGATCCAAATGATACATGATAGCTTCAGTAATAGCTCATGCAATGATGTTTAAACTTTTTTTTATATTAGTAATTGAATAACAAGAGTATGGCAACCTTTTATGCTAGCATTACGCTTAGCGATGATTATAGGTTTTTAAATGCTGATGAAAAGAAACTCATAGGCCAAAAGATTACATTTAGTGCTATTTCAATTAAAAATAACTACAGTCAAAAGTCGTTAATTCGGACACCCATAATTCAGACCTCAAAGCTAAGCTACAAACTTTCTGCGCATGTGTCGCGTTTACGCACGCGCGTAAGACCTTTGCGGCTGCGAATATGCGTGTGCGCATGAGCATAATACGTTTACGCATGCACGTTTAACGTATAATGGACGGTATAAGCTAAGCTAAAATTATCTAATTCAGTTAATGCTGCAGATTGCTTTGTTCCTTAATCTTTAAATTGGACCCGGCTTATTATTTTTTGCAGACTGTTAGAGCAATTTTATAAAAGTAAGCTTGAACTTTCGATTACGTCAAATAGAATTTCCGATATATATTTACTAATATGTAAAGGATCTACAAAGCGAAAGTATGTTTCAAAGTCCATTAAACAAAAAGTGGAATTGCTGCAAAAACGGATAAAAGAATATACTTTGTTTCTCTAACCATTCCGAAATCTGTTTATCAATTTCATGCTGCTCTGTGGCCGGGGGGGGGGGGGTTGCCGCGGCGCGAAATGAATTGGAAGTTGATCTGTCAGCACTATCCTTATCTTCAGGGCAGATGTTTTTAAAGCCTTAAGTATATGTGGGAGCATGTACACAGCATTCATTTATTCAGAACTCAGATTAGTTTTAAGCATGTGCAAGAAATTAACATAGGTATAGTAAATAACTAAACTAATACAATTCAGGCTTAATTCAGTACGCAACAGGAGCAAAACAAAAATTTAGCGAAACAACTTGGCTTTTGTCACCAAGCTTGCGATACACAGCCAATAATGTATAACAGACGCTATTATTTTTTGGGGACTACTCTTATATGCGCCCTCAGGTCACCGAATTTCTCGTCAAACTCCACGCTGACTATTACTATCTAAATTTTTTGTCTACATTTCAAACTTTAAGCCTAAAATGTCTCCAAAAACACGTTTTTCGCACATGCAAAAACCACGTTTTGAACACACAATTTAAGCTAAAAATCCGAAACAAAAACAAAAAATTTAGATAGCAAAAATGTAAAGTTTTCAACCAAAAACATTTGACAAAAATCTATGTACACAGCGATATGTTTTAATTGAATTGCACAATCTAGGCAACGAATGAATCTACGAACTACGCATATCTCGCTTTAATAAATTAACATAGCAACAATAAATTTCAAAGAATACCATGTACATAGCATTCATTTCAACTTTAAAAAACATCTACGAATTGCACAATCTAGGCATTACGCACTAATCAACAAAATAAACTAAATAAATTTCAAACAATTAAAAAAATAACAATAATGACAGAAATTCATACTAAAAAACAATGAACATAACATTCTACAAAATAAGAACACAATTAAAATAAAATGCACTTACTATGAATAAATGCTTTTTCGGTTAATCTTTGGATTATGGTAACTTGGCGGTTTATTGGCGAAAATTTGGCGACCAACCCAAGCTACTAGCTACTTTATTTTATTTTATTTTTTTTTTTATTATTCAACATTTTTTTTCCAACAATCTGCTAGCCGAATTACGCTTATGCTAGAACTTTTATGGAACAAAAAAACTTAATCATGACGAAGATTAGAAAATTGCGAAATTGGGAGAAAGTGCAGAATCGCAAACTGCTTGCCGCGTTTTTAAGAATTGCACATACACAGTATCATCCATGTACACGTCGACCTATTTTCACTTAAAAAAAACATCCCAGAATTGCACAAAAATGGCATTGCGCACACTCTTGACTTTATCCATGTACACTGCTAAAGCCCTAGCTAGTAACCTTTATTGCCTTACCAAAATGTTGCTAAACTATCTGTTACCATATTCCAAAGATTAGCTGCTTTTTCGAACAGCAGAAATACCAATTTCATACTGCCCTTAACATGCCGCCACGTAATCACTATCCTATTTAAATGACAGCCAGACACACTATCCAGAAAATTCATACAATGGTTCACAAATAAATGTTCAAAACCTTCTTTTCCTAAATCCTTGTAAGATTTCCATCCATTCGAAAAAATAGTTGTACCAGGCTCAATGCACACTTTAATACACTGCATCAGCGTTTCCCTACTTCTATCATGCACAGC